AGTCCACAATGAATTTCAACAGGCTTTAAAAAATCAATTCATGATACACTTTTATGCTTACGTGCAGACGAACACTGACAACAATTCAGATTACGTATTCCTATACCCAGTGATAAGCATGTTTACCAACCTACTCAAAACAAAACAAAAGAAAAAAACTGCACATTATCTCTACTTTTCTCATATCCACAATACAAATTGGACTTGTTCAAAATCGTTTTTACTCTCTGGTTTTATCCTATGTAATATTCACTGCAGTAATGGAAATTAAATCAAGTGATAAATTCAAGTTTTTTGTTTATTGAGAAATGATAGAATAAAAGAAAAACCAAACAAGAGATTGTTAGAAAAACACTTTTTAAAAATTATCTCGTTAGTTGTTTACAACTCTGAAATGATACGAAAATATATACGTGCATAGGTGTTTAATGATATTCTCTTATTTATGAACAGCCTTATCTTAGATTTATAGTAGCTTCTGTTTGTCGCCAAGGCAAATATCACATGATCCGCTCACACTGTTGGAGTAAAATCTCATTTTTGGCTTTAAATTTGGTTTGTTATTTGTCTTGGTATGGCACGCTACAGATATTAAGTGTGGGTCTGTATGCAAAACTTTATCCGCGAACAAAACTTATCCATTTGCAGATCGAATTGCAGCCCAGACATTTTCGTAGAACAGTAAAATGAATGACGATCAAATGTATGCCTCAACTACACCAATGTTGAGAAGCCTTCTACACGGTTGATGGTGAGGCGATTCACCAGGTATATGATTATGTCACAAGTGATTAGAACTTGTTGTTGGTCTTTATCCTCTCTGACTTCTCATCCCAAGCTAAAGCCTGTATATAATCGAGTTTGTGAGACTTCAGTTTTAAGTCGTGAAGGTCACCATATGTTATAGGTTGAAAGTCACTTTACTTTTTTGAATTTAGATTTCCCCGTCAACTGATTGGACCAGATTTCTTGGTCACAGGTTGACATGTTGGATTCTCCATCCTCAGTGGGTGATGGTGTTCCCACCTAGGCTCAAAGCCATCGCTCACAGTTTTAAACACCTAAGCGTCATCCACCAGACAAGTTAGGCAAAGAGAGCCACTTCCTGTGAAATGCAAGTGGATGATGAGTCCTAAGTAGCGAGAAATGCTCATCCTGTATTCTACTGCAAGTCACTATCTACCAGTTGACTTCAAGTTACATGACCAGACATTCGCACAAGGAGTCGATATGCCGACCTGTGACCAAGCACTTCGGTCAACTGGAAAATTCTAATTGAATTAAATATTTATTGAGATTCGTTGCACAAGAGGTGACTCTCATGGTTTAACTGGTCTAGTGGATAACGCTTTGTCGTTTGATACTATAAACACTGGGTTCGAGCACCGGTGGAATTCAGGTACACCCAGATAATGAGTCTCAAACAGCACGAAATTTGCGCCCTCGATTCTACTCCTAGTCGCCATCAACCAGCTTAATGAAAGTTATTTTGCACTTGCACTGTCTCAAAATATTATATACTATTACTTTTGCGCAAAAGCAAACACAATTCTAGAATAAACTAACTCGTGAACAAGAGAGTCTCATTTAACTACTATTCACATATATTTTCTATCTAATTCATACGTATTTGTATTCATAAGAAATGCATAGTAGTCTATTAGTAAAAAATAGTGGAGAATGATTGGGCATTATTGATATTATTATTATATTATTATTGCTACCTTGGGTCCCTAGTGGGACATAAGACTTCAACTGCACGTCTCCTTTTGCTTCTGTCTTCTGCTGTACTTTTCACCTCAATCCATGTTAGTCCATACTCTTTCAACTCCTCTTCACACGATCTCCTCCATGTCACCCATGGACTTCCCACACGCTGTTTCCCTTTCGGGTTCCACTCGAGGGCTCGAAGCGCGATTTCACCCAACAGTCTCCTCAGTGAGTGTCTAATCCATCCAGTCTCCACTTTCTCCTGCATATTTATTGGGCGACTGGCTCTTGTTTTGTTTGTTAGTGCCCATAGTTTCTTGTTGGTGATTCTTTCCGGCTCGGCCATCTGATCTTCAGTAAAAAGCCAGCGAAGACAGTTGTTGGTTGATAAAGGTCTGCAACAGGCTGTTGGAAATATTCTTTGTGACCCTCCCGCCAAGTTTCTGATCCGCATAGAAGAACTGACTGACTTGACGTTTTTATCGAAAATCCAACCGAATTTTGTTGTTGATGCTGAGTGACGAAGATATTCAGATTGGTTTCAGTTGGTTGATGAGTGTGTTTCTCGCCTTCCCGTTTCTTGCTTGATTTGACATTCTCGTCCGTTCCTCCTCCTGTAGTTGAGACAACGCTCCCTAGATAAGTGAATGAAGCAACCTCTTTCAAATCCCTCCTGTTTATGGTGATTGACGCTGGATTTTGCTGCTGTTGTTGGTTGGTTGGTTGGTTATATTCTTCTTCCATATATGCTTCTTCCACCACTTTGTCGGTTTTCGCTTGTAAGTCTTCGAATTTGTGTGACATGAAACGTAAATCATCCACGCGCGAAATCTAGGTCTTCTAGGTTCTACACGTCGGTCCAGGATATTCCTGTCTTCTCGTTTCCCACTCGCTGTCCGACGCATAATTTATTTTTATTTTTTATTTTTTATTACGGCTTGATTCCACACTGTATTTTTGGTACAAGTATGGAATTTTCAGCATGGATATCGGTAGCCCAAATTTCGCAGGCCGACCATAGATATCAGGTGTGCGTCGGCGTGGGCTCGAACCTCGGACCATGTGCATGGTCGCCGAGAGTCCTAACCACTGTGCCACCGACGCACAGTCCACCACAATCAGGAATATCATTTTGGGTGATAATAAGCACCCTTGTCTGACTCCTGTGTTTACTCCAAACGCCTCGCTGAGTTTCCCGTTGTGGATCACTTGACGTTGTCCATTATTGCTTGTAGTTGTCTGTAGAACGCCTCCTTCTTCTCTTGTTCTGAGACGTTTGTAGGCGCGTAGCATTGAATGACTGTAACTTTCCTTCCTTTTGAGTTGAACCTGTCTGTCATTTTCCTGGAGCAGATTAGTTCACACTGCATGAGAGCTTTGGCTGCTGTTCGTGACAACATGATGGCCACTCCCTCGGTGTGCTCGTGGTTGTCCTCTGGGTGGCTGGAAAAGATTATTGTCTCTCCAGTAGATAGTTGGCACCTTCCAGTTCCGTTCCATCTGCTTTCGCAGATTTCCAACACTTCTATTCTGTACCTTCTCATTTGAGCGGCTATCTGGGCAGCCTTTTCAGTTTCGTAGATTGTACGAACACTCCAGGTACCCATCCTTACTTTTGCTCTCATCGAAAGAAGGCACATCGGCTGACTGACTTCCCGAAGGCTTTCACCAGCCTGCGTCATTTCACTTCTCCGATTCTAGCAAAAAATAAGGTTGTTGTTTGTATTTTTAGAATTTTTAATATATTTGTTCGTTGAAGTTTCTGTAGCGATTAGGTTGAGTTTTACAGGGGTGGAGTTGCTAGCACCACGCCCCAACCCTCCCTCTTCACCGGGGCTTGGGACCGGCTAGAAAACTAGGAAGCTAGTAGCCTAACAAGCTAGTAATCTGGCAAGGTGGCTGTAGAAGTAAAAAATAAAAGTTTTTAATTGCGTAGCACTCATCGGCATAAAGAAAGAAAGCGTTAGATATTTGATGAGTTTACAACTGCTGTTGAGGAAGAATCGAGGTAGTTGAGTGTGTCAATTTAGCAAATGTGAAGAGGGTGTGAAAATGTACAAAAGGAACATATGAGAGTGATAATAGTCAATTAACTATTAAAGTGAAAGCGAACTAAGAGTAAACTTGAAAATTTTAAAAAAGAAAAAATTAAAATTTTTAAATATTATTTTATAGGAAACGACTAGTGAAGAGTTTAAAACCAAGGTAGGATAAGAGATTGGACAAATCTTTCTCTCAAAACATAGTTTTGTGTTGTAGTGACAAATTGCCAGCGCTTCTGCGATACCCAAAAACCGAAAGCTGACGAACTTTGTACCATTTGGCCTCACCTTGTAGAAGATCTTGAAGTATGACTGTGGTGTAGCTACGTGGCTTGAGTTCACTAAAGGCTCAAGCACTAAGCCAGTAATTGTAATTTACAACTTAATTTACAACTCTTATTAGTTTTTACTTTTAAAGCCACTTCTGAGTAATTATATCAATTATGTCACCCCCTCCACTATTACTCACTAATAGACTATTAGGCATTTTTTGTAAATATAAATACGACTGTACAGCCACTGAAGATGATTTCGTCGATAATGGAAATTTTCTGCGCTGAATTTGTCTTCTACTTGTCTTCAAAAATACTTCAATAATAACTTCATCATCACCTTTATTGTCTGGGTATCATTACAGTGATTACTTAGCTTTGGCTTACATATGATTAGTTGCTTAAAACAATGGTAAGTTTTTATCACACTATGAACATCCCAGTTTATCCACATCTTCGAGATTTTTATTCTCAAGTCCAGTTGACGAAAAACAAAGTAAACACAGACCAACCTAAAAAGCCACATAATCTTACAAGACAAAGTTATTAACAACGGTCTAGGCAGACAACTGTGAATAACGAAATTTTATGTATACAAAGTATATAAATTGTGTTACAACATGCTGTTTGTTCTCTAATTCATGCACAGAAGTGGTAATAGCAGTGAGCTGAATGGTTGATTATTTTTGTTTTATAGTTTAGTAGGAACTACAGTGTCAGGTTTTATGAGAAATAAGAACCTGTTAATTTAACAAAACTGAAATCAGTGCTTCAAAACATGATTGAAAATAAACACAACAGCAATAACACAAATTTAGTGATTTGTTGAAGAAACTGCGGAGGGGGGGCGAGGGGAGGTAGCTGTACAATCGATACTAGTTGCACTAGTTTAGTGCTTATAACAAGTAGGACTAAGTATATATATATATATATAGTAGTACACAGAGCAGATATTCATAGTGTATAGATAGAAATAATGGATTCAAAAACTCTTATTTTCACCATTCTTTCTGTCTTGATAGTTGTAGCGCAGTATGTAAACGGTAAGTTAAATGATGACCTGAAAAAACCTGTGTTATGATCTTATTCGACTGAATAATTTTTTAAACACCTCTCCTGTTTGAGGTGACGGAGACTGTAATGGTATTCGTGAATAATTCCTATCGAGAAATTTGTGAAAACAAAACACGTAGTTTAGGGAAGAGGCTTTTTTGACGAATTCATTTTCGTTACCCCTTGTACAATCCTACGTATGAGCAATTCTTTATGTAAAATGGGTGGTAACGTAGTTCTAAATGTTAGTCATTGCATAATGGAAGTTGAATAAGTGTTATTAGAGCTAAGTGAGAAGATGAACTTGTTTAATAAATGAGTTTTAATCAAGATTCACACGGAAACGAAAGAAAATAAAGAATCATACAAGAGTTCTAGAGATACACAACAGCTGTATCCGGTTAGATATACAAAAGATAAACAAAAGCCGAGGTAGTGGAAATTGAAAAGTTTGTTTCAGTTATAGTAGATGCCATTGAGTAGTTTCCTTATGTATGCCTAGCTCCAGTTTCTCTATCTGAATGGTTAAAGCTTCAGCAAGGCAAAAATGGTGAACGTTTGTTGTCTTCGGTAGGCTGTTCTTCGTCTGCTTATCGACAAGCCTATTTATGATATTGTTCAACGGCAGTGTGTTTAAAATTCCCTATGCTTCAAATGTAGGAGGCCTATGATAATATCTAATTTACCTCCGAATTTATTAAATCTGTGGTATGTATATTGTAAAAACTGATATAATTTTGAGCAAGGTGTGGTCAAGTCTTAAAAATGTATTTCACCACATTCATATCTCCATTTGCAAATTTAGAAGTTGATGCCAGTGGTGAGTTGAGATGTGATTTCAATGATTATATTTCCCTACTGTTTGTCATTGAATAGTTTTTCTGATCAGGCTTAACCGATTCCTGCTAAGGAATAACTAGTTAGTGATTGTATAACATAAAAGTAAATAAAATTAGGAAGTCAGCAAAACATGTTTCATAGAGAATATTAGATTAACGAAGTAACTTTCCTTGTAACCAGAGTGTCCTAGAGGTGCGTACTGTGAAGAGTCCCAAACTAGGACGAAACAGCTCTCCAGTACCTCCAGGTTTCACAGTGATCTGTCACTCATGTAAGCTGATGATGAGATCCTCCATCCAATCAAATGTAATCCCTACAAATCCAATACTTGAAAATTAACCAAGAAGCCTCAGACGAGAAGCCTAGGTGAAGTCTGAGTAATGTAAGCCTGTTTATTCATACCTATATAAACACATATTTTTTATAAGGTTCTACATCAAGTAAGTCAGGCGCTAATTTAAATGATCTTGGTTTATTATTATTATTTAATTTTTGATTAAGAATTAAAGTTGTAATTACCTTTCACTGAATGCACTCGTAACAAATTCATACTAGATAATAGAAAATATTTCCAAACATGATGTCATCAAGTCAGAGTGGTTCGAACTTATTCACTAATTTTTTTCTCTGTACACAACGATGTTTTTAGATTCCAACAAAAGTGAGTTATCGTTTGTCGTCTGTGATCATGATGACCGAAGCATACTTGTAGTATTGGAAGACCGTTTACAACAGAAAACTATAAGTTAGAGAACCATTGAAAACCAGGGAGTACTGGACAGCTGCTGTTTCATCCTAGTTTGGGAATCATCGGGAGTACGCACCCACTGGGTTTCGAACCCGGGACTTTCCGGTTACAAGGCAAGCTCGTATACCATTCAGCCACTGGGGCCCGATTCAATGGCTCGTGAATTCTAACTTCTACTAATTCGTGATTTAGCGCGACCCCAACCATTGTTGATCTGATGCTCTCTAGTGACTTGCTACAGGTTGGAGTTTCCTGAGTTCTAGTGAGAAGTCGTGACCAGTGAGGTCCAATTAGATGTCACGTGTGTGGATGGATGTCCCGCCAACGACAATGTTTGGGGTCGCGCTAAATCACGAATTAGTAGAAGTTAGAATTCACGAGCCATTGAATCGGGTCCCAGTGGCTGAATGGTATACGAGCTTGCCTTGTAACCGGAAGGTCCCGGGTTCGAAACCCAGTGGGTGCGTACTGCCGATGATTCCCAAACTAGGATGAAACAGCAGCTGTCCAGTACTCCCTGGTTTTCAATGGTTCTCTAACTGATATCAATCCGTGATCAACCCGTAAAACATAACTAATCCTTACAAACCAAACTATAGAAAGAAAACTATAAGCCGAAAAATGACAGACCATTTAACATTTGATGTCTAGACACTTCTCATTGTAACACTAATAGGGTGACATCCAACACAGATACGCATAATAGGTGGTTGGAGGTAATCGGCAGGAAGCCTTTGACTTAGGTTTGACTAGTCACCACTCGTGAGCAAGGCGTATCTACAACCTTGAAGGGACTCCTGTCTCTTCTGAAACTCGAACCCAAGCCATGCAGCGAGGTAGTTGGAGAAGTTACCACTGAGTTATACGGGCTCACGATTGACCTCCTGTAGGACTTCAGTATATATTTTGACTGGACACTATTAAATAGTGCGACATGTCTAGTCTGTTGTTTAGTGCAGAGTGAGCTCCATCAATCAGGTTTGGAATGTGACCACCATTCTATGTAGCTCGCCATCACGGTGCACATTGATTTGATGATGTTAGATGGTTGGAGGTAGTCGGCAGGAAGCCTTGAACCTTGAAATAGACTCATTTCAATGAATCTGTTATCAAATTTCATACATTTATTCCTCTTGATGAATTTGAGTAAAGCAAGAACAACAGCACAAACCACTGTTGTTATCAAATTGTTCTACCGTATATATATATATATGTATATATATGTATAAATATATATTAGATATTTCTCGAGAAACTGGATACATTTCTGAAATTTAAAAGAAAAGTTTGATTTCACTGTACTTCTAGATGCTATGAAAGGTGAGTTGGAACACACTAGAAGTACGCGATTTATTTACTATAAACCAAAATATGCTGTTTGTGTTCACGTCTTGAATGAATCAGAACTAAATCAAATTATTCTAGAAATTAAGAAAGGCTGCTGGCATCACACAAACCTTTTTGTTTTAATTAAAATGAAGTGAGTGTGAATAGGCGACGGATACATTAGCTTGACTTTTCACACTAGATAAGATACATTTTAAGTGATGGTTCTCCGTTTTATACATATCTGTCTGAACATATTATTTTATAAAAAGAACCAGAAAGTAAGTTGAGCACCTAATATAATATTCATGCTTTTCTGTTTGCAGTCTAATATTTTATCGGTGTGATGCCTCAGATAACAGGAAGGATGATTATGTCAAATATTTCAGGATTTCATCATGAGCTAACATTAGTCACAGAACCAGTGGAAAACCAGAGAGTACTGGACAGCTGTTTCCCCCACCCCATCTTGGGACTCTTCAACAGGACGCACCCATCGGGGTTCGAACTCAGGACCTTCCGGTCACAAGGCGAGCTCGTATACCATTAAGCCACTGGGAACCGATCCAATGGTCTTTGAATTCCAACTTCTGCCGATTCACGATATAGCGCGACCCCAGTCAATGTCTTCGGCGAGTATTTGTCCTCTCACCGGACCAGCTGCACCCTACTGGTCACAACTTCCTACTGGAACCCGGTGGGTGCGTATTGCTGAAAAGTCCCAAACTAGGACGAAACAGCTGTCCAGTACTCCCAGGTTTTCCAATGGTACTCTAACTAATGTCAGCTCATGAAAACCTGAAACCAATCAAATCCCCACAAACCAACACTTGAATATGTCAAATATATTTATATAAATTTAAAATGTTTATAAATATTTGGTGGATAATTTGACTTTACCGAATATGTGAAGATCAGATTGTGTTATTTATTGGTGACATATACCCTTCATCCCTCAAAGCTGTGTAGGCCATTGTAGGTCTTTCAAGTACTGACCTAGCGCTGATTACAATAAAAGTATTTATTCCCTACTTGTCATACTATGGTATCTGTAATCATGCTCAACTGAATAGAATCCAAAAGGGAATAAAACCTGATATGAAGAAATGTATGTGTACATGGGATGAAGTTAAATAAACCTGAGAGGTTGAAGAACCCTTGTTTCTATCATGTTGAACATACTCAATAGTTTAAAATAAGTGTTTTTGTTGATCAATACTCGCAATAGTTTTAGATGGCAGGATTTAGAGTCTAAGCAGCATGACAGTATTCACAGGCTCTTTTTATTTATTATTTTAGAAGGCAACTCAAATAGTTAGTTAAACATTCATAATTATTTGTATTTATTTGTCACTCGATGATTTTTGTAGTGACGTTCATCTGCATTAGGTGTGTGCAAAAGCATATTCGACAAGCCACTGAATAAATCTGAATATTCATTAAGTATGTTGAGGATGTATTGGTTACTTCATGCATGAGGTAATTTCAAGTGGTGATTCCTCTAAGTCTTTGATGTGGTTTTGTTCTCTGAGCTGGATGGTTAGTTTGCCAAGCTTTCATCACCTTACTGGGTGACATCTTCAGCGCATACTTCAATTTGAAGTGAGCTTTTAGATTTTTCCACGAGTTTATTAATCATCTCTCCTGGTGACCTTGGACGTGATTGGTTGTTTGTGTGTGTTTTCATACCTTCTAGGTTACTTGTATTGGAACCGGTTGTTTCTTTGACTTGAACTTTGACCCTTTGTGTGTGAAGTTTCTTTCTTATTGGTTGATAACTTTTGTCTATCTCGATGTGTCTATTGATTGATGATCCACTGGAATGCCAAGTTTCTAAAAATTCTCTAGCATTCTTGTTATTTCCTTTGTCTAATATTTGAATGTTGTCCCAGTCGAATTGATGTCCGTAGTTGTCTGTGTGTAGTGAAATGAGGGAGTGTATATCATGTCTTTTGACGGCTAGCTTATGATCGTGGATACGAAGACGAAGGGGACGTCCACTTTGGCCGATGTAGTGTTTTTCGCAGTTGTTACAGTTTATTTTGTAGATGATGTTGGTTTTATCTTCTTTCGCTGTTGAGTCTTTCGGTTGACATAGAATTGAGTGCAGCGACTTTGTTGGTTTGTGTACGACGTCAATTCCTAAAGGTTTGAAGAGTCTTGTAGTGATTTCTGAGAAATCCTTTATGTATGGTAAGGCAATTTTCTTTGTGCTTTCCTTGGTGACTTTTGCTTTGGTAGGTTGGCTTGGGGGTATATGTCTCTTGATGAAATTCCGTGGATATCCATTCTTTTGGAAGACGTCCATGAGATACTTCATCCACCTGAGTTACAAATCTTCTCTATCATATCCTCTAAGTCTGCTGTTAATTTACACTTTCATACTTAGGTGGTGGCTCCCCAAGTGAGTTATACACAAATTTAACCAGTAGAATATCTGATAACAGGATCTCATCATTAGCTGATATTGTTTAGAGAACCATTGAAAAACCTGGAAGTACATGACAGCTGTTTCGTCCTAGTTTGGGAGTCTTCATCAGTGCTCACCCACACTGGGGGATTCAAACGCAAGACCTCCTGGCTACAAGGCAAGCTCATGAATTGACAGAAGGTATAATTCATGGGTTGGCCATTGGATCGTACCCAAGTGGCTTAATGCCCTACGAGCTCGCTAGCCTTATACCCAAAGTTCAAAAGTTTGAACCAGCAGTGTGAGTTTGTATTTCTGAAAAGTCCTAAACTAGAAGGGAACAGCTGTTTTAGTACTCCCAGCTTGTTTTCCAATGGTTCTGTAAATAATGTCAACTCATGAAGAAATCTGGTAACCAGTCAATCAAATCCCTACAAACCAATACTTGGATATGTAGAAAGTCTGTTTTATTTTGGCCAATAAATTTGTTTAGATCATGATTCACTGAACCAAGTTTAATTGAATAAAGCTTGAAATGAGAAGAATGATGACTGTATCAAATAGAATTTTAAAACACTAATGTTATACATATAATACAGCTATGATATTAGATATGCCAATATTTCATGAAGATTTCATTTCTAATACATTCATAATGATTCACTGATGCATATATCAATTTTCAAGGTCCTGCACCTGGTAAGCTGAACACAAATGTGAATGTTAGTGGGCTTTGATTTTTTCTCATAGTATGCATTATACGATGCATTTTAATCAGATTATATCCACGGAAAAAACTACTTCGATATGTAAATATATGATATCGAGTATTTTAATAGGTGATCAGGTCATTTTTATTGGTGTAATAACGTTCATCTGATTTTTCATTTACCATTTTAGGTGGTGGTTCAACTGGTTAGTTAGGCAATGATATCAGTAATAATTTTTCGCTTTTGATTCATCACCTAATGATGCTTGTCTGTCTGTCTGTTTTCGACATAGAACTTTGCACAAATGTGCGGAAGTTCAAGTCGCCACATTCCGTGTAGCACGCGAAGCAAGAGAAGAAAGTACAAGAAAAGCATAATAGAGACAGTAAACAGAGGTGTGAGACAAAGGAGTAATAAAGAAATACAAAACAGTTTCATTGAAGATCATAAGTCACAGGGAGTGGATGCATCTGCGCCATTGAGAACAGTTTTTAGCCATGTCACCAATTGTTTCCAACCATTGATTTTTACCGTCCCGAGGACCCCAGCCTGGAAGTCTACACCTTCTACGTGGCTTAGACCAACTGTTGTGGATTTCATTGACTGATGCCAAGTTTTTGTTTGACCGCCGCTAGCTTTTTTCCAGCCTGACCCTATATCCGCTAACATTGCTCGTCGAGGGAGGCGATGGCTTGGCATACGTAACACATGTCCTAACCATCTCAGTCTTTGTAGCTTCACGACTTCGTCGATTGATTTCCCCTGTTTACCCAAAACTCTACGCCTAACCTCCATGTTGCTCACCTTATTATGCCACTTTACACGGGAAATAGAACGCAGGCACCTATGATCAAAGACAGCTAGTCTTTTCATGTCTTCCACTATCAGTGGCCAGGTCTCACAGCTCGCCATAAAGGAGGACGGAGCGGACTGATGAGCAGTACACCCGCCTTTGGTCGATAGTCGAACATCTCGTCTACGCCAGAGTCGGCGTAAACTAACAAATGCGAAACGAGCCCCTTGTATTCGTGCTGAGATTTCGCCAGAGATCAGCCCATTGGGGCTGATGGTACTTCCCAAATAAGTGAAGCGGTCAACGTGCCTACCACTTCACTTCCTATTTTTAAACTAGGCGTCGATGTAGTCCAGTCCTGTAACATCATCTTGCATTTGGCGGGAGCGAATCGCATGCCAAACATTCGTAGATTTCGGCTCAAGGTGTTTAGAAGACTCTGCATTTCGTCAGAGTCTTCGCCTAGAAGGACTATATCGTCTGCATATTCCAAGTCAACGAGATTATTAATGATGCTTGTGATGATGTTTAATCGGATCAGTGGTACACCAAAAGGAGTATGATATAAGCTAAATGGTAACCGTGTAACACGAGGTTAACTCTGAGAAGTTCATTATTGACTGTTTGGTGTTTTCGATGTTTGTAATAGTTTCAGATGAGTAAATTTCCAGTTTGTGTGAAGTAAACCTCTAGTTAATCTAAATTTGTGTACTTTAAATTTTAGGTGGTACCCCTCAGCGTGAGTACTGCACAAATTTGAATGTTACCACTTCTATGTTTCCCCCAACAATGCTACTCTGATTGAGTATTATTGAGTTGATTTTAAACCGAATAATGATTGAAATACGGGGAATGAATATTATGCAAAAACGAAATATAAATAATATGGAAATTTTTTAAAATAGGAATCAGAATCATCATGCCATATGTGATTGATGAACTCTTATTCACACACAATTGTCTCTATCATTTTAGAACCTCCAGCAATTGGTGAGTTAGCCCTGACCAAATTTAAAGCATTCCTGCATTAGAAGTCACAGTATGCCACTTTTCATCAGGTTCTAGTGAACTAAATCTCAGAAAAATATTTCTTCAGATATCAGCACTAATGGTTAAAACATAAAGCTATGAGAGGAAATAAAGTGTATGAGAAATGTTATGTATCCTTAATATTCCCAAATTAGATCAAATCATAACTTGACGGTATAATCGTACTCATTTAATATCCTTTATACCATTTTACAAGTTCCTATACCTAGCAAGTTGTGCGTGAATATCTATGATTTGTTTTTTACTGCAATGGTTACACCACCGAGCAGTTTGTATAACTCCTCGTGGTTGCAAATGGCCAATTGCAAGTAACGAGGATGATACAGGTCTTCTTGTTGTCGCGCTCGGCATCGCCAGCCAATTCAAGAACTTCAGCGGCCAAGTACTCTAGAAAACAAATTTTCATAATTCATGTTAAAACCTAGGCTTGCTATCCACAAAGGAAATGGTGACTTTGTTGTGGATTTTCTGATATACCGAAAATATCCTATGCAAAGGTCTAGTTGTGTTTTAGTGATATATTTTGACTCATTCATTATTTCTAGTTGGTTACTGTGCATAATCATACTGATGTGTTGCACGTTATTATTATATATCACATATCACTTTATGAGATGATGCAACTGGTGACTTAAGCACTGATATCCAAGACTGGATCTGCTATTATTTCCAGTGATAGAGCCTTTAAGATGATGTTTAAATGATTCGTGCTTAAAAAAAGAGGTTTTCCTAAATGAGGAGTAGTGGGACCGTGTTACATAAAAGTTGATATGTTAGTGAATATGTGGTAGATGCGTTTTAATAGCTTGATATTTTCACATGACAGTAGACCACATCTGAATGATGAAATTATGTTTATTGAACATTATTGATCTTAATTCGGAAGGTGTAAAAATTTGTAAGTTATATACGAGTAGAAATGAATGCTTTATTTATTGTTTCTCACAGAAATAAAACTTTGTAATCACTTTCTCATGATTTATGTCGAAATCGGGTTTGTTTTGAAATAGAGAAATGATTGTTTCGCATAATACTTATCAAATCTAAAATGTGGACGAGTACGTTGCAGCAGATGTTTCATATAAGATCACTTTAACTTCCAGTAATGTACTTGTGCTCATGCACTATTACTTATATTAATTTACAAGTTCCTCCACCAGGTAAGTTAAGCATGAATACGACCTAATACGGTTTTTTTACTCTTCTCACACTGTACTGTGTGTGTTAAGCTTTACATAAACCCTATCTGAAACAAATCTGGCATAAACTAGGGGCAATTTTGCAGGGCATTAGGATATCAAGTTTGACTGCACTATTCCAGTGTCTGTGATACTTTAGTGTCTATGTAGGCTTACATTCCAAAAAATGTTAGGAGTTTAGCTCGTAACTTTATTCATATTGAATGGTATGTGCGTAATATTTTCAAAATTTCTCATCATTTATTTTACTTCATTCATTTGGCATGTAATTAACATATTTTGACTTTACTTCGACTGTACACTAGTAACTGATGTGATGTGCCTAAACCTTTCTTGGGTGTGGACTAAAGGTTTGCAATGTGGTCTCCATTCTAGGTGCATATTGAATTGATGATACTAGATGGTTGAAGGTAATCGGCCAAAGGAAGCCCTAGCTTGACCAATAATTCATGCTAGTTGGCACCCACCAGTCAGTCAACAAGGCGTATCTGCAACTGCTTTGAAGGAACTAATGTCCCTTCTGTGATTCAAAACCGAGTCAGCCAGTGCTTCTCCATGCCGGCTGCCTCCAACCATCTAATATCATCAAATCAGTGTGCACCGTGATGGCGAGCTACCTAGAATGGTGGCCACATTACAAAGCTCACTGATAGAATTCAGTCTGCATCAAAGAATGAACCAGATACGTCTCACTATTTAGTAGTGTCCAATCAAGTATCCACTACAGTCCTACAGGAGGTTAATCGCAAGCCTGAATAGCTCAGTAGTACTGTCTCTGACTCCAGGAAGCACTGGGTGAGGCGGATTAGAATTTTAAAAGGTATATGAGTTCCTACGAGGTTGCAGATACGTCTTTTTGACTAGTGAGTGCAAACTAGCACGAAACCTCGGTCCAAGGCTTCCTGCCAATTGCCTCAAACCATCTAATATTTTTACTTTGTTTATCTTGGTGTTTTTCTCCGATGACTTCATCCTGGACCTTAATTTATGCATACGCATCGAGTGTTTCTTTGTTATCATCGAAATTCCAAATATATCTTGTGCAGTTAGTTGTATATACGTTCACTGGACCAATGGCTTCTTTTCTATACTTTGAAGTAAGAATCTCCAAGTTATTTGAAATTATGCATTAGGAATATATATCCTGTAGTATCAGACGGTCAATCATATTTTATGCAGTATATCATAATTTGCATTTTTGCACATAATCAAAAGGGGTAATCTGACCACGAATATCACAGTAATTCAGCTCGAAACCATCAATTATTGATTTCTATCTAACCGCGTATTTTTAGACTTTTTTGTAACCTGACTGCACTGTTGAAGGTCTGTTACTTAAAGCAGTTAGATATACTTTGTGGGGTGGATACGACGTAGAAATAACGTGTTTAGATTCTTTTTTTTCTTCTTTGTCAAATGAGAGAAAGATAGTGGAGTTGTGTCTTTATCTGTGGACTGACTACTATTTGTAGAGCGGCATTATTTTATTGTAATTATTAAATCAAAGGATAAGAAATAATGGAATTATATAAACGAAGTTAGAAAGTTATGTGGGTACCCTGATATGATTATCAGCAGTAATAAATTGGGCTCAACATTTCATGAGTAAATAATACTGCACCTCTATGTGCTTTTATCAAATACATTTTCTCCATAGTGCCAATAAACTCGATCACAGTGCTCATGTTCTATTCCTGCATCATTTACTGAATGTTTTGTTAATTTTTAGAACGCGCCAACTAAGTATGTTGTAATCTAAGATTGAGACTAATCATATGTTAAATAACAGTGAAATGTATAACATGCTAAATTGTCAGAACATCATATTTAGTTATTGTGTTCATTTCAATGAAAAGTCAATGAAACGACACCGGAAATACAACGCACACGACCGTGACTAATTATTGAGAAGTGCGACATGAATCAGTATATACTTGCCTTCTAATATCATAGAAACTTTGTTTATGCCTAAAATTTCAATGAAGTACACTATGAAGAAAGAAGCCTTCAAAATACTTGTGAAAGTAATTACAAATTTTCGAAACGAGAAGTATGGTAGGTAAATGCATGAAATATTCGATTAGTTCAGGAAGAATTTCTCGAAGTGAATTCATCTTAAACGGGTAGAAACAGGATTTGAAAGGGCAGAGAAAAATATTGTGTCAGGTAAAATTTGATTTTCCTCCAAGATTAACTATATGTTGAGCAATCTTGATGAAAGTAATAAGCATATATTACAGCATTATTTTGCTATAGATGTAAATGTCTGAGAAAATGCACAATCAAACAGGGTACGACAGTCATTTTTTCAATCCTCAAGAGATTTAGGACACTAAACCTTTTAATCTGATAATTCAACCATGCATTTTACTGCTGGCTAACAAAAACTACTTGCGGTATACTTCATACATGTATGGCGGCCTGCTTAAAACTTGGGCTATCAACACCTATCATTCCTCTGTTGCATCTATTTTATCTCGTTCGCTTTGTTTTGTTCAATTAATATATGACATCGAATGGTGTTATCTACTCTACGACGCTCGCCTGGCATATACGTGGTCCGGAGTTCGAACTTCTGAATATTTACATTCGGCTTTCACATCTGCATACCGTGGATTTCTTGAAGAACAAAAAGCAGATATATCATAATGGAATGGATTGTGCTTAGCTCAGAGACTATTGAATGTCACAGTTAGAAAGTACTGCCAATTAATATTTTACTTGAAGTTATTGTACGAGGAGAAAATATCATGGCATCAACTCCTCAGGTACAAATTGATTTTCATGTCAGGATTAGGATTCAATGAATGCGTCTTAGAAAGAAGCACGAGAGAAATATGAAAGCAGTAGTTATGTCAAATCCATGTGTATTGAAGAGTTATTTTTGTATAAATATGCATCGACAGAATGTAGGATATAGACTAGATGTCTTGAAAACGTGTATTATTTTGGGCATAAAGATTTCATCTGTAACTCTGTCTGAAGAATTCGGCTGTAGGAAGTATCAGTCACTCATTTTTGTGGAAATTGACTGTATTGATCTTGAGACGTACATATATATTATATACAATATTTTAATGACTATATGTGAATAAAGACTTTCTTAACCTACTTGTCAGGACACTTGTATATTACATATAAAAAGTTGGTACAAATTAATAGATGAAGTGTGACAGTTGCATCTGTATTGAGTACTTTTTAATTTTTCACTTTTAAAGCTGAAGAAGAGTATGGCAGTTGTGAGTCGGGATACTTACAGTATAAGTATACTAAACCTCTTTCTATTATATAAGCGGTAATCCTCACATTGATGATTTATGACTTATTTCTTACACAGTCAAAAATTTACATTTCAAAACTGAGAATTTGGTTGTAAAATTAGCGATAACAGAGTTGATGAAGACGGTCAATCACAATTCACAATCAATAGAAAAATATGGAAGTTGTCCTCTACACTTCTGTGACCACCATTGTTTCAAACACACGTGGAACAATTTGGTTTTATCAAATACATGATCAAGAATCAAGACAGGCGTTAACTTCCTTGAAATTAGTGTGTGAATCTACAAAGCTCAGCACAAACAATGAAATGTGATATGATAGAGAAGATTTGTAGCTCAGGTGGATGATTTTGATGTGGTTGTGTTTTTGAGCTGGATAGTTAATTTGTAAAGCTTTCATCGCCCTACTGGGCGACAAATTCAGCGCATACTTCAATTTAAAGTGAGCTTTTAGATTTCCGCACTAGTTTAATATTCATCTCTCCTGTTGAACTTAGACGTGATTGGTCACGTCACCGGGAGAGATGATTATCAAACTCGTGCAGAAATCTAAAAGCTCATCTCAAATTGAAGTATGCGCTGAATATGTCGCCCAGTGGGGCAATGAAAGCTTTACAAATTAACTATCCAGCTAAGAAAACACAACCACATCAAAATGACATGTAAATTTACAATATTAAAATGAAGTTAGTGCTGGGGCTTTTTGTGACAGGAAACTTATTTTCATCACTCTGCAATCAAGGACCTACTGCTCAATTAATATGGAGATGGAAACGAAGATAGATTCGACATATTCTGCGAGGAGTTTCAGGTAGCACCACATACTAAGTTGTTGAGTGTAATCCGACTGTAAAGTGATAAGTTGAGTGTTAGAGGATAATATGGTAGAGGACATGCAAGGAGGAGATTAAAGTTCCTTTGGGAATCATTAGGCTAGTCAAAAGAGATCACAGAAAACAGAATACAATGTTGATAGGATACTTGCTAAAATGTGATACTCGGAAACTAAATTGTTAATAATTATTAATAATAATTGTAATCAACAGCCTAAGTATGAATATAGAGTAGAATACTTTTCTATGTTTACGGCAGTATAGTAGGTTTCAAATGCTGATAATACATTAAAACGATCAGTAATGTACTACGTGTATATATGCGTCCTCAAAACATGCATTATAATGGAACAATTACGCCTTTCATGTTCGAACACAGGTCCGAGTGCTCTAACACCCCAGTTATTCTTAAAACTTTTGAAACTTTGATGCTATATGTGTCAATGCATAGTTTTACTACAAAAATATGTAAAATAAATAATTCTGCATCAAATAACCAAAATGGAAACTTCTTTTCAAATGCATTTATATTCAGTGCTGTTGACCTTGTTCGGCTGTAAGTCCACACACATTTTTCGAATTCTGTTTTACACTTGAAAGTATCATCCATCCTAGTGGACTTAGATATGTGGTAGCCAAAGGAAGTGCTGTGTATTTTATAAACACTGAATCAAGGTTGTTATGTAAGCTTTTCTAATGCATTTATTGCGTCGAACTTACGACCGTATCTGTACTTTACGTGAATGTGGCAACATTCACGTAAGCTTTCCTCAGCGTGAGAAACAGATTCGTTTAAGAACACAATATACCGCCAAAGGATTTTTCCCAAAGAATTTGTTGTCAAGATGTGAAATGTCTAGGGCACTATATCACCTGAGGGTTACATTTCAGTGATTTGATACTGATTAAGCGCTTAAGTCCTTCCATGATGTTCACCAAATATACCAATCTGAATATTTATAAATTTAAACAAGCATTGTTGAAATTATTTCTTTTTTCAGGTGAAAGTCGTGGTAAGCGCTAAAGGAACACTGGAATAACATATTTTCCGTTTTATTTTATAACTAATAGCCAAACAGTGGACAGGAGTTTTCTATCGCTCCAGTTTTTCAAGCCCATGATCTACGAAATCACTTTGTGAGTCTTTTCGAAGAAAATTTTACCTTGCTTCAAATCTACTGACAGAAAAGCTAAATGTACAATGAAGCTTTTAGTTAAAATCCTTAATCCTTAAGTCCTGTTGATGGATTTGAAGAAAAACTTCAATAGCACATCTAGAGATCACTTTGTAACTACTGCGTATTGCGTATTTGTTTTCTTGGGTACTGTTCACTCTTGGTAGTCAATTTCTTCGGAATCATCAGATGGAGTGTAGAAATAAACTAATGCAATTTGAAATAAGTTTCTGAAAATAAACTTCCTGTGTCATTTAATTAATTTGAACCATAAGTGATCTTAGACTCATTACACATTTCTACAGAAAATCTCTTAACAGATTTTATCTTGAAAAGTTCCTTTTCGAGTCAGTATTCATTTAGATATCTGGAAAAAACCATAAAATTGAACAAAAAATATCCCTTTCGATAGCTCCCTTTTCTGGCTCCACAATTATGCGTAAGCTTATATACACAGAATATTCTAGAATAGACGTCCACAATATTATTGGTATTTATTTTGAATACTATCGATTTGTTAAGGTAGATCACAATACAATTACAGTTCACTAAAGATGCATAAATTATAATAAGCGCAAAAATGTAATAGCAAATAGAATATCAAATAAAATTAAGGAAATTTCCACAACAAATTGAAGATCTTTAGTATCTTGCTGGCCAAGGTCATGACAGTGTCTAAGCCAGCTTCTTTTGGATGCTTCTTTTGAAAGTTAACTTTCACAATGTGCACCCCAACAGCCTCGGTAATGTGTGGTAGGAGAACTCATTACGCCTTAGGAATGCGGTACGCTGTGTCTTCAGAACCACCAAAATTTTGCATTCGAGAGTAAAAGATAAACTGCCTAAATTTGCCTCTTCTTATGTATATCTACAAATTTAAATACTCCTTGGGAGCCACTTATACAGGCCGCACAATTGGGCATGTTTATCGTCAGATTTCCAAACATCACTCCGCGTTTTTGAGTAAACGACAAACAAAATCCATTCATATCGTTATTCTATCTCATCTCGTGGAAAAGAATACAAGACTGATGTTAATGAGGCTTTTAGTGTATACCAAGTAATTTTAACTTCACTTTAAGAGTTCGTCTACTCCGTATTGCCGAGGCCGTTGGGGTCCAAAGTGAGAAATCTAACTTGTGTATGCAAAAGAAAACGTTAGTCTAGACACTGTACTTACCCTGGTTATCAAGGTGCTAATAATCTTCACTTTGTTGTGGAAATTTTTTAAAATTTTATTTGATATATATTTTTTTACTATTATATTTTTATGCTTAATATACCTTCAGTGTCTTTCTTGAACAGTGATTCCATTGACCTTACTTAACAAATCGATAATATTTTGAAAACACCAGTGTTGTTAATTACAATTTTTCTAGAATATTCTATGTATAGAAACCTACATATAATGGTAGAGCCAGAATAAATAAATTGTCGATTTCAAAATGTAACCTTCATTTTTGAAGAAGAAATGTTATTGTGTTATGTCTTTTATCTCTATTGGCTTTTTCTAGTCCTAAATTTCCAATTGTTCTGTTATTTATATCCTGGTTGGTTTCAATAATGCATCAAGGATACTAAGCGCATACTATCCTATTTAACTAGTAGATAGTGTTACAGCTTCATTATTTTAGTATGATGCTTATCCTCGATCCCTCTGATACTGACAAAGAATAATTGAACTGAACTTTTTTTCCATTTTTTTTTCAACAGAAAGTTATAAGAGTATGTTCATGAACATCTCAGTTACAGTTATGAATAATATATTTATATATTATATAATATTGATAATATTGGAGGGTAGTTTACTGTTGACCAGTGATTAGAATTCTTTCGGATGGGTCGATTATTATCCTAGAATGATGCAAGAAGTGATGAGACGGTTGAAATACCTGTATGTTGTTATGACTTCAGTATTGTTTATTTTATTAACGATAAGTAGCTGGTATTTTTCAAACACTTCATAAAAAGATCAAATTAAGGAGTTAACCGTCGTTTTAACAGGTACAGCAGGTAAGTGTTTATGAATTAAATCAGTTGTATTATAAAATATCTCTCAATATAACACCTGTCCAAATATATTCTTTGGTACTTTAATGGACATAAATCATAGAAGGTCGCCTCTCATTGACAGATAAACATGTGTCAAATGTTCAGTAATCATTTGTACTAAGATTGGTTACAGATATGCATACATCAGGTAGATAAAATAACGAAATTAGTTTTAGCACAATGACAAACTTGGTAGTAAATTTGAAGGTATTTAGGTGAACCATAACCACTGTAGACACACTTTTGTAGGAATTCTGTGTGTCATAAAATGCGACACAAATGTAAAGAGAAAAAATTACATCCCAGCTATTGTGTACTTTCAGAGTGGATTAGGTCATTCTTGCATGTATTACATGATACCAACTATCATTTCATAATTTCCAATTGTATATTCGCTTCTAGATTATTCCTCACATTGCGTGAAGTATTTTTATAACATAGCTGTATTCGACTTGTTTTATGACTACCCCCTTTGAATACAGTTGCAGTTGTACTGCTGTTGAAAATGATTCGTCGTAAAGAAATTGTTTCTTATTCTACATCTCTGTATGATTTACTATGAGAATTATCATTCTGGCTCAGCATGCATGTCATCCAGTTCTGGAAACTCTGTTGTGACTGACAGCAGTAGTTGCATTGGGATGAAAATTATGGGTTGAAAAAGAGTGAAAAATCTGAATAAGTGCATAAAAATGTAGGAAGCCTCTAGTATCAAGAATTTAAAACTGTTCATGTTTTGCATATCAACCGATAAAATGGAAATCTTTAAAGTCTTTATGAAGAATTTCTAGGCTTCGTTTATTCATCATCAAGTTTATAAAGTGCTTATAAAATATCAGTATGTTTAACTAGTGGACATTTGTATTTTCCAGTATTGGATTTGTAGGGATTTCGTCTGATTGGACCTCGCCTTTTAACAAGAAGGTGCTTGGTTCAAACCCCTGTGGGTGGGTACTGATGACGAGTCACAAACTAGGACGACACAGCTGTTCAGTACTCCCAGGTTTTCCAGTGATTGTCTCACTGATGTCAGCTCATCCTGAAATCTCACATCCAATTTGTATTTTCAACACTTGAAAATAACATAATAATAATAATCTGAATAGCACTGAGTTGTAAGTGATAAAAAGCGATCATTTTTAACTTTGTTTTTTACAGACCTTTCACCGGAAAGTACGTCTATAAATATTTCTTCCAAGTATTGTTCCTTTAATTCTAACTAGCAATATTAATAGTAGTAATTCTGGTAATACTGCAAAGTGGTTCTATAATAATAATCTACTTTATTCCAAAAACAATACTTATAATGCAGAATGGAATTCTCAGCATTTGTCACATTATTCCATATGATTTACCCAAAATAAAAATAAAATTGAAAAATTAAAATAAAATTAACAAGAGGAATTTCCCCACATTTACGGCATAAAGTCAAAAATATTCGAAGTATAAAATGAGAATAATAAATATAATAATAATATCAGTGAGTTTATTTCAAACAATAGTGTCGATTCATATTGAATATAATGATCTGTTGATACGGTATGATGAGGGGAAATACAAAATTAACCGTTATAACACAGCTTTAATGATGTTCACACTTATGAAAACAATAAACAAATAAAAACAAAATAGTGAGAGGATTATAAATACAAGAAGTATAACAGCAATAAAGTTTGATGTTATAAGTGTGGAGAAAATGGTTTATTTACTAGTGCAAAGAAGGTTAGTTAGTTAGCTCATGCCTGACACTATTTTCATCACATAAAATACGTGCAAAAGATGTTATAGCAGATTTTTGTACGTGATTAAAGTCTTCTGAAAAGACTTATTGCTATATTTGAGGATACACATGGTGAAAGCTGAGGGTGCTGACAAAATTCCTTTAGCAAATTTGTTGCATGACATCAGATGCCTATCAATGACGATGTCAACGATCGATATGCCCACTTGGATACCATTACTCACCCTACTGACAGTCTTTACAGTTCTGCGAAGTATGACATAGTCTTTTATAAGCCATCCAGGAAAGAATAAGGGTCAACAGTATAGGTAAGATGCACGAGTTCACAAGCTGTAAGATGAGGAGTTGAGTTATGACTAAGTGCCTTAACTTCTTAATGTAAACACTCAGACTAAGTATTCTTTTAGAAATCGCTAAGACATGAGAAGACCATGATGGGTCAGAAGAAAGAATTAATCCACGGTATTGTTAAAGGCTTTAAGTGAGGGTTGAAGATTAAGTAAGGCTAACGTTTCTACATTTTTTCTAGAAAAGGAGAGTTAATATGGACTAAGAGATAAATACTGCACAATCTATGCATTATCTAAAGACATTTAGAACTTTTTATGGAGTTTACCGTGAATGATGAATGAATGCCTTAGGTAATGATGACATGGTTTAAATCTTCCTGCATATTGTGAAGTTAAATATGTAAATTGTAAGACCTTCAAAATACATTCTTCTTAAATTGAGTAATCTGGCAACTTCGTTGGTCTAAAGAAGATTTGATCTTAAAAGTGATTATCTTTTCTCAGGAAAGAAAGGTGAGTAATATATTCATGAAAATATAATGCAATAGCAGTTAGAAGTACGTCTAAGTGTATTTCTTTATACTTTTACAAACATAGCGTATAGCTGATACCGATTTATTGGCACACAAAAAATGGCTGGGGAATATTTATATCATAGTCATATACAGTTACATATGACTCGACTGATGGAGCAGTTTAGTTATTTAAATTCCTTTAGACAGAGATTTTATCTGATGATAGATGCAGTCGAACAAATGAGAATTCTTCGGTTGACTAGAGAAGCCAATTTCTGATTTTCTGAGATCATTTTCATTTCAACAAATTATTTTACTGCGTAATGATGTGGTTTTAATTCATGAGATTGAAAATTATTGCGAAAGCATGGTAGACATTTTCAAAAATAGCCTTTAGAAGAAATATCATTGCAGAAAACGAAATTTTTTTTTATAAAAGTTTATTCTGATGAGGCACGTGTAATTTCATTCCTGTATATTCTAAGAGACTGTGTAACTGAACAAAGTATGCCTCATACACTTTCGAATTAATCTTTGTTTTTTTTGTTTTTGCTCAGTTTATGACAGTAAGATTTCCACCTAATAATTTTGCATTAACTATTGAAATCGCGCGAGAGATTATTATATTGAACAGTATCGTTATTAAAATGAAGAAACAGAAATTATAACAAACTCCAAGATTAGATGGAATATGGGAACAACAACAATGTATTTTATTCTAGATGAATTCAATAAGTGATATTAGATAGTTGGCGGCAATCGAAAGGAAGCCTTTCACCTGGGTTTACTGCTAGCTGACACTTGTGAGCAAGGTGTATCAGCAATGTTTAAGGGACTCCTGTCCCTTCTGAGATTCGAACCGCAGTCACCCAGTGGGGCACTCAGGAAAGTTACCACTGAGGTATACGGACTCACGATTGACCTCGTGTAGGACTTCAGTAGATATTTTGATTGGACACTACTAAATAGTGCAACGTATCAAGTCCTTTCTTTGGTGCACAGTGAATTCTATCAGTCAGGTTTGCAATGTGGCCATCACGGTTCACATTGATTTGATGATGCTAGATAGTTGGAGGCAATCGGCAAGAAGCCTTGGTGACGTCTGTGACCGCAGACAGCGGTGACTGACGCGGTCTTGAATCCCAAAAGGGATATGAGTTCCTTGAAGGTTACAGATACGCCATGCCGACTGGTGTGTCAACTAGAACAAGGCCTAGGTGGAAGGCTTCCTGCCGATTGCCTCCAGCCATTTAATATCATCAAATCAATTTGCACCGTGATGGTAAGCTACCTAGGATAGTGATCACATTGGAAACCTGCCTCAGGGAACTCAGTTTGCACCAAAGAAAAGACTAGACACGTCGTACTATTTAGTAGTTTTCAATCAAATATATTCAATAGGTGGATGAAATAGCCATTACGTGTTGTTTAATTTCGTCTACTTGTGTCAGTAATAGCAATTCTAGCATGTTGGTAAATATTGGTCAGCTTACCATAAGTAGAGTGATGCTGTAACTACTTTTCAAGGGAAACAAGTATCAGAATATTTATAAAAATGAGGTACATAAATTTTGGCGTTATTCGCGTCTTCTGACAGTTACTCAAAATTAAGTATGATTAGTTTACAGTTTTACAGTTTAGTGGAAGTGAAACATATTGATTTGCAGCTTTGACTTCAGAAATACTGGCATATAAGAAATTTGAGTCGAGTTACTCACCAATCTAATGTTCTGAGTTGTATCATATTGACAAATGTTTACTTAAAATAACTCAAAAAGTCTCTTTGCAATGATGATCTGAATATATATACTGTATTTTTATTGTTTGATAAATATCAGGGTTAACTAGTAAGTGCATTTTGGAATTCCCCACTGAATCATATGAAGAAAACGTTCAGCTATATATATATATATATATATATATATATATATATATATATATATATATATATATATAAAAGAGTCAATCTGAACAAAGAATATTCTTCTCAATAATTTCTCTTCAGGTTCTTACAATTATAAAATATAATATTGGTTGTTGTTACAATAAAGGCCAGTTATGCGGCGGATACATTTTTAACGGAGAATAACAGATTAGTTATGGGGTGTCAAAATAAATAGTCGTATT